TTTTCAAATTACATCTTTTTGGCACAAAAGCTAAGTTAAGTTTGGTTCAAAATATTTTAAATAAACATTATAATTTCTGATTTTCTTAAAATAAGTTTTGAAAAATGATAATTGATATTTAAAAAATTTCAAAGTCAGATTTCATTTTTTTTAAAATGGAAAAAAAATGGTCAATTTTGCTGACTCAAAAAAACTAGATTTTTAACGAAAATTTCGGACGTGCTAGGAACGATTAAAAAATTGGAAAAAAAATACCCCAAAAATACTTTGACCTTTCCTCTTAATAATAACAAACATTTAGACGATAAAATTTTGTTTTCGTCAAGTTTGGCGTCTTTTTCATCATGCTATACTCTTTTTTTAGCGATCTCGTGGAGGTACCTACGTTAACCCCTTGATAATATGCAAAAGATGTCAAAAATGAGCAGTTTTGTTTATTTGACATTCTTTTTTAGGAGTCTGAAATAGAACCAAAAAGTAATGAAATTGACAAAAATCATGTAAATGTGAGAACAACAATAAGAAATTATTCTAAAACATTTGCCAAAGATATTTTATTTCAAAAATACACTCACAACTTATTCCTCAACCAAATAAATTATTGCATTCAGTGGTGAAGGCTCTTAACGTAATGTCTTTGTCCTGTTCTGGTACAAAGATCATGAGTAGAAGATTTTAATCCTGCGGTAAAAATCAAACATTTAAACGGTTTCTCTGAGGGAATTTAATTGAAATTTTTCACATTCATAATTGATGTGACTAGCAAATGTCACATAATTGTCAGCGTCATCTTGTGTTAGCTTTCTAGGTACCTCCATTAGGTCATGTAAAAAAAGCAGCATATCATGATGAAAAAAGGTCATTAATCAACAGAAACAAAGTTTTGTATCAATATGTTTATGTTGTTATGAAGAGGAAAGACCAAAGTATTTTTTAATATTTTTGGAAATTTTTACTCCTTTCTAGCACAGAAAATTTTGGTTAAAAAAAAATTTTTTTTTTTTTTTTTACAACAGCGCAATAGGAGAAAAAAAAGGTTTGTTTTATTTTGCGCTTTTCCCGAGGAAAACACACGTTAATTTAGGAAATTCTTGCAAAAATCAAATAATTGTCGGATTTTAATGAGTTTCAGGACTTATTCAGAAATGAATTAAATTATTTTTGAAATTTTTTTTTTTTTTTTTTTTTTTTTTTTAACATGTTTCCACCCACTTACATATTTTCATGAAATTTCAAGAAATTAAATCTTTAAGCACGGGATTTGTTTTATTAGTTATAAACAGGACTCTTTATAGAAAGTAAATCACCAGTTTTTTTTTTTTTTTTGTAAAACAGTTCCCCCGTTTCATGGAAAATCTGCTCTGAATTATAAAAAAAAATGTAAAAAAGTATGACATTAATTAATTAGAAAAGCTTTGACCTGCTTTTGTAAATAGGTTATATTAAGGACATTATTTTGTAAAGAAATAAAATTTTTTTGATGAATAATGTATTTTTTACAAATTTTTTTCCATTTTTTTAAAATAATTTTTTCATTAACTTAATACTTCAAAAATCGTTTAAAATTCTTTATTGCTTTTTAATGCAATGATAACGTTAATGAAAAAGTAAATTTACTAATTGAAATTTGAAAAGCACATAAGTCGTTTGTCCCTGAATATTTTTAAAATAATTTAAAAAAAAAATTTTTATTGAAAAAAAAAAAAAAAAAACGTTCATAATTTCTACGTATGGAAATGTATACATGACATAATCCTTAAAAAATTCTAAACAATTATCTAATTAATAAAAAAAACTTTAAGCAATTATCTAATTAAGAAAGTATGAAATAAAAAAAAATAGATATTACATAATTGCTGAATAAAAATGTTAATATTTAAAAAGTACTAGTTAAAAATGAAAAACCACGTTCGCTTACTTTGATCATCCATAGTAATGTCATCACCTCGTCACGATTTCTTTGATAAATTCAGACACATCTTTAAATGTTTGGATACAAATTTTTATGCTATAAGTAAGTACTGTTTGTTTCATATCAGATTAATTTAACTTTAAATTTTCTAATTTTGCTCAAATAATGTGTCAAATATATAAATTTATTTTAGGAAGAAGTTTAAAATCAAAATTTTGTTTTTGTTTACAAATTTCTTAAAATTTAAGAAAATGGCTGCTTTTAAGAAAATTAAACAAAAATCGAGCATATATTTGACATTCTAATGTATATAGTTCCTATCTGAAAGACACCAGAATATGTTACTTACTGTAAGTAATAAATTTAATGCTTTAGCTTTCAATTAATAACAACGTATTGAGACAAAACTTTGTTTTCGTTGATTTATGAGCCTTTTTTTTCATCATCATATGCTGCTTTTTTACGTGACCTACTTTAAACAATTGAATCGAATATTACACAAAAAATATCTTTCTCCAAATACTTCACTGAATGTTTCACTGTTTCAGTGAAGGTGAAATCTGTTACCTGCTTTGGTAAAATATAATTCATATAATGGTCATGTTCCTTAGTGCCCAGATTATGAATTAGGAGATGAATTTTCCATTTTTCATCTTTGTGGGAAAAGTCAGTGTGAAAGGTATCTATCCAATGCTTAAACCATGAAGCAAATGTTTCTCTGCATGCTGGGTTATAGTAGAATTCTGTGATGTTGTTGGCCAATATATCTGCTGAATTGGTATTTGATTTGTTCCAGTGCAGAAAATTTTCAAGTTGCTTCTGGAACTGTGTAGTCATTGCTGTTAATAACTGTTGTTGTGACTTCTGAAACTGTTCTTGCTGTTTGTGTAAAATCTCAGTAAGCATCTCTGGTGAAATTGCCATGTTGATTTTAAAGTTCAAGTCATTGTCACCAAAAATTTATATTCCAGGTTGTTGGGAAGAACAGAAACGAATGAAAATAAGACAAGTGTATTTTAACGCATAATAAAATAACTTTTATTCATTTACTGCTTGGGAATAGCAAGGATTTGCTTGGATTTAGACTATGAGTTCCATGTATGGGTCAACTTATCACCATGTTGAATTCAGAAATGTAACTTCATTGTATTTTGAGTTCTCGTACTTTATAGGGGGAAGCAAGCACTCTAACAAATTGATTGGAATGAATTTTTATTTCTTAATCTACCAAAATGGATGATTTTTAACCATATTTACACCTCTCAACAACATATTTCTCTTAAAAACTCTTTCAAAAATAAAATATACTTTTCTGAAACATTATTAAAAGAATATTAACTGACTTAAAGTTTAATTAATCTTATTTGAAACAAATATTACTTGCTTTTATTTTAAAATATTGCTGAAAAGCATTTTTAACACTGAGGTGTGTGTTTTTTAGAAGGTATTGAGTTTGATGTCTGGGAAATTTAACTAATTTTTTCTATGGAGGACAGATCTGTAAAAATTACTTGACAAATATAATGTGAACACTTTTCTTATTTTTTAACTACTCAGTAATTTAAAAAGTAATCTGTTTTATTGAATTTCAGGTTGTTGGCTTTAAATTTTCTACAGTTACCATCTCCAAAGATCTGTATTTACAAAAATTAACACATTTCTATACCTACACACACAATTCTTTTTTAAAATAGTGGGGTTAGTTGAATTGTATTAAGCTTTTCCATTTATGATTAGTATATATAGTTTTTACTTAATAAAAATATCACTTAACCACTACAAATTAATACAGAATTTTAAAAGATTTAAAACTTTATAAATGTTCATTGCAATCCTTGTAAGAATGACTGCAAAAACACCCCCTCTCCAAATTTACAGACAAAACATACAGATGCATGCTAGAATTTCTTCCTAGCCAATGAGATAGGCCACTTCTTAGTCTCATCTGACTTAGTTCTGTTTTTGTCTGTATTTCCTTTTTGTGTATTAACACCATTCTTAGTTTGTGAACTTTTTTGTCTTATTATTGTTGCTTTCCTTTGCATGTATTGTTTGCTCAATATTATTTTTATCTGGTTTTTTCTTTTTTTTCTCTTGTTGTTATTTATTACAAACTTTGTTAATTCTGTTTGTTGAGCATTTCTGCCAATTACATTTAAACATAGCCAATTACTCTACAAGAAATTATTCTAATTAAAATTTAAAAAATGAAAATTTTCATCAAAAAAAAAGAAAAAAATTAGACAATAGTATTCATAATATACCTTAGTCATGAAACCAAAAGCTTTTCTAATTAATGTCTTGGTTTTGCATTTTTTATTTTTATGATTCAGAGCAGTGTTTTAGTAACTGTTTTATAAAAAAAAAAATAGTTAAATTCTCCAAGGATTTCTGAGTATACCTAATATAAACATTAAGCAGGACAAAAATGATTCTTAAAATTGCATCAAATTAAATAGCAGATAACAAATGTTAAAAAAAATTTTTCTAAAAAAACATTTCTAAATTAATTTCATTTGTGAATAAGTCTTGAAAGTTTAATTAAAATCCAACAATTATTTAATTTTTGCAAGAATTTCCAAATCTGAAAACTCTTTTTTGGTCACCTATTGACGCAGAAAAAAATTAATTTTTAACCAGAATTTTGAAAGAACCAAAAAAGGATTAAAAAAAATAATTTAATAATAAAAATCCTTTGGTCTTTCCTCTTAATAACAAAGATTTCATTGATAAAACTTTATTTTTAAAGTTTGGGGCATTTCTTTCATAATCTATGCTCATTTTTTTTAGTAAATCTTTGATTATACCTACTTAAAAGCATTCATATTTTTTAATTTATTCACTAAAATATTTATTAGAAAATTTATTAAAAACATTATCTTCTTACATGTGTATGCTGAAACTATGTATTTTTGAATTTTTTTTTTTTTTTTTATTTTAACTTAAAAATAATATAAAACTATTATTTTAATTGCGCTATGTAAAATTTTGATTTTTGTGCAGAATTATAATAATCTAATGTCTAATCTGTTCTTGATGTGTCCATTTGAAATGTTAATCTCTTTGCATATATATTTTATTCTTTCAGATGAAAGAGAAATATGGAAAGGAATGCAAAATCTGTGCTAGACCATTTACAGTATTCCGTTGGTGTCCTGGTGCCCGAATGAGATTCAAGAAGACTGAAGTGTGCCAAACGTGTTCGAAGTTAAAAAATATTTGCCAAACTTGCTTACTAGATTTGGAATATGGTCAGCACTTTGTTTCTCTTACTATTCTCCTGGCCATTTTTTTTAATTGTTGTTTATCCATGACAAAATCTGATCAAAAAGTTGTAAGAATTTTGCAATATAAATTTCAGGAGCTGAAATATTAATGAAATCTAACAATAAGATGATAATAAAATTTTTTTTCATATGTATAAAATTTTGAAGAAATTCAAACATGTCTTCTGATGAATAATTTTTTATCAAAACATTGAACTTTTAAATAACGTACTTTAAGGAATATATTAATGGAAAATGTAACAAAACTTTTTGAACTGTATTAAAAATTGACATGTCTAGAGAAATTTGCCATTTTAAAGAGGGGGACATTATGCAATATTTTACAGAAATTGTGTATTTTAAGTCATAATGTAAAAGAACATTTTTTTTTTTTTTTTTCCACACAAAAAATATTACCAATCTACTAATTATCAGATTTTGATTATTTAAAAAGAAATGTTTCAAATTAATGCAAAAAATTACACTTTCTGTTAGAAAATTCTTATTATGGAAATAAAAGATTTGTCTTTTTCCTTATGGAGAAAATGAAAGAATGAATTTTGGTAAAAACAGTAACAATGTCAGCATAAAGAATAAGTTGTCCAAACAAATCTTGGGATGAAAAGCTCATGTTGTATTTAAGAGTAATTAAGCCTATGCATTGAAATAATGATTAAATTTATATTTAAAGTTATTTACAGAAATTATCTTTTTGTTTTCTGAGTTTATTTTGCCATAAAATAAATGTTTATTGAAATAAATGACTCTTGCCATATTCTAGAAGAATATGTCTGGAAGTGTTCATAAAAGAATCTCTCTGCTTGTAGCAGGTGCAATACACCACAATCAAGACATTGCAGATGTGCAGTGACACATTTGCCTTTCTCTCTTGCTTATCAATAAATTGCAGCACCTTCTTCAATTTTGAGGGACATATAAGAGAATGTTCTTGAAAAATTGATTTGTAAAATTTATACATTTTATTCCTAAAATATTCTTTGAAATATTTTAGTTGATATATAAAATGTTTGTTACTCTCACAAGATTGTTGCAAATAGCCAGGCAGCAAAGTTTAACCTTTGGACCTGCAAAGATATGTGATAACAAAAGGACATTTTTTTTCTATTGACATCTATTTCTGTATACTTGCTTGATTCCCTCAATAATGTTTGTTTTAAAAGTGACTCTTGAGTCTTGCCTTGGGTAATATTTAGTTAAAAACAATGTTATGTTGCAAGTTGAATTTGAAATCTAAAAACAATTTAACTTTTTATAATTGATATAGCTTATTTTTTCCAAATTGTTTCTTATTTTTTAATTGAAAAAAAAAATTATATTGAGATTAAAATATCTTAGATTCAGTGAATTTTTTTTTTTTAAAGGGCAAATTTTACATATTCCTGTCTACTTGGTAATGCCAAATACAGCCTAATAATATATTTTATGTAATGAAATCTGTAGTGTTGTTAATAGTATTTAAAGAAAAATTAAGATTTTTTTGAAAGATAAGTCCCTTGCAAGATTATGAGGAATGTAAAATCCTTGATAAAAAGTCACTGTCATAATAAAATTGTTACTTCATTTTTGTTTAATATTTTTGTGAAGAAAATGACTTTGATGAAAAATAAGAATGTTGAGCATAAAGAGACCAAAGATAAAAGTTGTTTTGTCATTATAAAATTAGTTGATCATTAAACAAAATAGAAATCATTTTATTTTTTTCCAATGAAGTGTTTAAAACCTTTTTATTTTTTCTAGGTCTACCTGTACAAGTCAGAGATGCTGCCTTAAAATTACAGGATAACATTCCCAAATCTGATGTGAACAAGGAATATTATACTCAGAACATTGAAAGAGAAGTAAGAATAATAATTACTGAGTTGGGGATTATTATGAATAATTTGAAAGTATAATTTTTCTAATGAACAACTTCAAGTAAAAGTGAGGAATATAAGAATTGAGAAATCTTCATTGTAAGAGTATTCATTGCATTTGTCTGATTTTTCTCATTTTAAGTTTTGTTTTTCCCACTATTCACTTGCCTTGATCTAATATAAAAAGAGTTTATGACCATCTTTTGATGTCATCTTATAATCAATCAAAATCAGTGAGAGAAATTGGCTTTAAATATAAGTTGGCCCATTTCCTTCTAATTGGACATAAATGAGTGGAATAAAGCACTTCCCTACTGTTTTTGAAAAATTTGGTCTCTATAGCCCACCTCTAATTATATATTTATTTATGTTATTAAAAAAAAAGAATAAACTTTAAAAAAACTTAAAAAAACTAGTAACAAAAAAAACAAACCTTTTTATGAAATAGGAGTTAAAGTAAAAATAATTTGAAAGGAAATTTCAAAATGACACGCAAATTAAAAAAATAAAAACTTCAAATAGAAATTGAATAAGAAAAATTTAAGTTAAAAAAATGTTTTTAATAGAATTATATTGGGTTTTGTCTCCAGGTTACTTAATTGATGTATGACTCACATTAAAATAAAAATATTTAGTGAAATAGGAATTTAAAAAAAAAAAAAGTAAAAAAAAAAATACTTTAAATTTTAAAGTTTAAAATTTTGAAGGGATCATTTGAAAAGCCTGTTGAGAGATAAAGATGATGAAACAGAAATGAATACTGAAAGAATTGTCGATGGCCAGATTTTTAGGGAGGACAACTCTTAAAACACATGATGAACATTCATACTTATGAAAATAGGAATGTTTCTATGCTTAAAAAAAAAAGTTTTAAAAATATTGTGGGTAAACGACTTAAGCTTTTCAATTTTTGATTCATCGATTGTTTTCACTTAATAACATCATTACCTAACTGGATTGAAGTAATGCAGAATTTTAAACTATTTAAATTATAAGGAAAATTTAAAAAAATAAAAACAATTCCTGTAAAAATTCATTATTCAGCAAAAAAAAATTCTTATGACAATAGAATAAATCTTATAAAAGCAATTAAGTGTTTTTAATAAATGTCATAGTTTTATTGCATTTTTTATTTTGTGATTCAGAGCAGATTAACTGATTTAAATTCTCCAAGAAGTCTTGCTTCTAGCTAATAAAACAAATTTTGAGACTGAAATTTAATTTCTTAAAATTTCATGAAATTTAGTAAATGAGGGTGTGGACAACATGTATTAAAAAGAAAAAAAAAATTCTGATAAGTCCTGAAAGTTTCATTAAAATCCATTTTTTGCAAGAATTTACAAATCAATGTGTTCTGCACCTTAAAAAAAAAAAAAAAGTTCAAAATCACTACATCAATTGATGTTAAAAAAAAAAAAAAATTTTTTTAAATTTTGGGTGTGCTAGAAAGAATTAAAAAATTCAATAGAATAATAAAACAATTCCTCTTAATAACATAAATATTTTGACAATAAAACTAGGGCCTTTTTTTCAACATGCTATACTGTTTTTTTTTTTTTTCAGCAACGAAGTGGAGGTGCCTATTGAGTAAATATTTCCACTTCCATTTATTTTTGAATTTTTTTTTGAATTTTTTTGTAAGTTTCATGTCAATTTGTAATATCAACAGGATAAAAGTAAATATACTTGAGGCTTTCTTCAATGATTCTAAAATATTTCAAGAATATTCTACAAACTATAATTTGGTAAACTTTCTATTAACAGAAGGTGAAACTTTTACTCTTTCCATATTTTTAATTTATCAATTCTATCTTGTGGGATAACTGAGCAGGTTGTATTTGAAACCTGAAGTTTCATTTCCCTTGATTATCTAAAATAGTCAAGATGTGTGATCAACAGGATTCAGGCCAGAACATCAACATCAAAGTTACTTAATATATTTGGACAGGTGATTTTTTTTTTTTTTTTTATATATATAACATGAAGCAATCAGCTGCTTAGAAAAAAAAACAAAAAAAAACAGTTGTCCACATAACTGTCAATGAATATTGGATTTGTATTTTCCTGAATTGACTTTCTCTGTCCACTGTAGAAACCTTGAATGATCTATGATCAAAATTGTGCCTTGCTCCGTAACTGAAAGTCTTTTGTGTGACAATTTCAAATAAAAGATGCAATTTTTCATCTGCGTATTCTCTTGACACTAAACAGTTTTAATAAACGAATGACAATAAAAATAGAAAATAATTTGAAATGCTTTGTAGTTTTGATGTTCAGTTTGGAAAGTCCTTGATAGAATCTTTAGTTATCTCCCTTGGGTAACCTGAACTTTTAAATGATTTTATGAAACAATTCGCTCGAATCCAAAAATGTTTTGTCAGAGGAAATAAATTTGGTTGACAGATGTTTTAAAATAACATTTCATGTCTTCTGTAAATATGCAAATTTATTTGAACTCTTTTCTGATAATTTCTGATGTTATTTTTAGTGATCAGATGATGCCGATATTTTTACCGATTCCAATACCTACAGTGATTAAAATTCATTATTTTCAGGCCTTATAGTTGGTTTAAAGTACATTTATTAATAAGACATTAACTACAGTTGACATATTGCTTTACTTTGCTTATCATTAGAAAACTTTAAAAAAAAAAAAACTTCTCAATTACACTTTTCTGTTTTGCATTGGATACACTTGCCATAATTGGGGTCTGAAAATAATAAACATCATTGGTTAAAATTTAAATTTTTCACTGTTAGATAAAAAATGTTTCTAGTTTTCTAATGTGTATAATTTGTAAAGATTCAACTAATAATGGTTTGCTATTGTAAAATGAAAAAGGGCTTTTTTTTTTTTTTTTTTTTTTTTTTATGGTCCACCTTTTAAGTTTTAACAAGTAAAGGCACCCTGTAAATATCTGGCATTTTTCATTGAATGGAATAAATTTAAGGGTGACAATTCAATTTCAGCATGCACTTCAAAAATGAGAAACCCCCTAATTGCAGCAATAATACTCTAAGCAGAAATCCTATTGTGATTTAACTCCTGTATATATTTTGATAAAGTACAAAGAGTACCTAATCCTGTAGGACAGTGAATAATAAAAAAAAAAATATGTGCAAATTTTAAATTTGCTTACATTTAATAAGAATTAAATATGAATTATCACAGCAACTTAATAAATAAAAGATCTTCAATCTTATCTAAAAAAACATATCCCTTGATATTTTTTTAGGGATATAAGCAATTTTAGCAAACTTTACAATAAATTTTAAAAAATATTAGGAAGTTTGGAGCTAAATAATGCTGATATCCAACTTGATCATTTTATAAGGTATGAAATTCAACTGTTACAAAGCATTAAAATAAAAAATGAGGTTAAAAATGATTAAAATCTTCATAAGGATGAGAACAATTGTAAATGTGTATATTTTTGCATGGGATCTTTTGTTTTATTTATTTATTTTTTTCAGTTATTTATTTAGAAGATGAAATAAGTTTTATTTTAGAAATATTAAAACAAATGTTAAAGGTGGAAAAAAACTATAGCATAATCACGCCAGATAAAAATGGGATTAAAAATACTCATTTTTTTTTTTTTTTTTTTTAATGCACTTCTACTAAAACTTGCATCTCGTTTGGCTCCAAGGAGGAATAAATGGGGAAAGTTTAAAATATTTTAAATGCCATAATAATTTAACATAATAAAGTTCATTTATGCCAAAGAAAAATATTAATAAAATAAAATTAAATACAATTTTTGATGGAAATTAAATTTTAGTTTGTTTTTTGTTGTATTTTTTTAATTTATTTTATTTATTTATTTATTTTTTTTTTTTTTTTAAGTAAATAAAGATGAAAATCTGTTTTGAAGGCTATAAAATTTTAAGATGAATTTTGTAGAAACAAATTTAAGTTTCATAAAAATGTTTACTTTTTTAAGTTTCAGTTATTGAGAAGATTTATTTTTGTAAAATAAATCTTTTCAATGACCAAGACTAATAAATTATTTTATGGATTAAAACTAGTATAAAGATTCCATACATTCATATTTTTTTTTTTTTTTTTTTATTTAATATAAAAATTAAAAAAAATAATAAAAACGTAAATTCATTTTGTGTTTATATTACAGAATTTTGATTATAATTATTAAATTATAATATTAAGTGGGTGAATTAACAATGTTTAAAAAGAAATTAAAAATAAAAACTTTATTTTGAACTGAAACAGACTTTAAACTAGAAAACCTTATGAAAAGTTTGAAAATTGAATAGAAACTTGCTTTTTTTTTTTTTTTTTTTTTTTGCACAAGTAAAATAAATTTACATCCTACTTTGGTTTTATTAGGATCCATAGATTTGTTCCAGAAATGGGAAATTAAGTTTTAAATAAAAAAAATCAAAAAAATCCAAAGAATCGTTTTTGAAATTGAGAATTAAGTTAAATTTTCTCTGATTCTGGTACCCTAAAGAGTTGTGAAATTTCTGATTAATCTTCCTATCAAGAGTTCTTTTATAAAGGAATATAAAGCCATTGAGAAAGATTTGTTTTTTTTTCCTTCTCAGATCGGAAATAGTGAAGATGGTACTACTCCTGCTGGTGCATTAGGCAAGGCAACTGCCCCAAGTGATATGCTTCTCAAATTAGCCAGGACATCTCCTTATTACAAACGTAACAGACCACATATATGTTCGTTTTGGGTTAAAGGAGAATGTAAACGTGGAGAAGAATGCCCCTATAGGTGAGAAAGCTTTTACTTTTCATGGGTCTTTTTCTCTCTTACAGACCCTCCTTTATGTTGGTTGTTTTTTGTTTTTTTTTTAATATTACCTGTAAGCAACCCAATTAAGTGATTCTACCTTGGAAAAGTTACTGATGCATTTTTGTCTCAAATGTAGATCTTGCCTCCATTATTAATTCTGATAATTTTAATTTCAGTTCCAATATTTATTTTGGCTTTCAGGTTTTGGCAGAAAATATAATTAGAATGAAATTCATCATTCTTCTTTGAAATTGAAAACAATACTGAATTGTTGCATCTCAAATCTTAAAAACAAATCAAACATATAAAACATATCAATGGCTTCATTTCAATTTATGCCTATGCTTAAATCTGGCAAATTTATCAATTATATATCAGATAAGATTTTAGGCATGTTTTATTTTTATTTTTTATTTTTTTTTATTTTTTTTTTTTAAATGCCATTTTTGTCATGGTTTCAAATTCAGTTGTGTGTTGCTATTGTATTTTTTATAATAATTGAGATTTAAAACCTCAGCTGTTACACTTTGAAATATTTAGGGAAATTGATCATTATTAAAAAAAAGCATTAAAATTGTTTACCTGCTGTTTTTTAATCTGATGTCAGGCACGAGAAGCCAACTGATCCGGATGATCCTCTTGCAGACCAAAACATCAAAGACAGATATTATGGCCTTAATGATCCAGTAGCTGATAAACTTATCAAACGTTATGCAACTATGCCCAAATTGGAGCCTCCAGAAGACAAATCAATCACTACATTGTATGTTGGCAGTCTGGGAGAACGAATTGGAGAAAAAGAATTGAGGTAAGCGCTTTTGTTTATGTATCACACATTTATTGTTTTATTTTACTTTTATAATTTTTTTTAATTGGTTTCTTCGCTTGACAAAAATAGAAAACTGATTTGTTTGACTTTATTGCTGTTTCAACATTAATTTAATACTTTGAATATTTATTAAATATAACGTCAATAATTTATAATCATAATAATAGTAGATATCTCAAACAGACCTACTTTACAATGTGAACACATGTCAAATTTCCTTCCATTTCAACTGTTGATCTCATTTATTTTCAAGGGTATTTTGACAAAATAGGTATGTAAACCAAAACTTAATTTCACTTTTTGCCCAATAGAATGAGACAAAAAATTAAAAAAAAAGTTTTATGAACTTTAAATGGTCATAACATATTTGCTAATTAAACTACCGAGATAAGTTTGGTATCGTTCTTTTATAGTTTTTCTCTGAGCCTGTATTAAATGTTTTTAGATATATTGAAACCAAAATTTTAGTTTGGGATACTTAATAATAGATTGTTGTTAGAGTATTTTAATGACTGCTGCTAACATAAAATTAATAACTGGCAAGTCTTTATTTACCATTAGAAATAAACCTACTTTGAATAAAAATAAATGGCTTCTAAAAATGATTCTGTAAGAAAAACATAGTAAATAAACTGATCAAGATAAATATATTTGTATTAAATATTTTTTTTTTTATTTGAATAAGTTGATGAAAATTTGTATATCCTCCTTGAAAACAATAGAGTATTTAATTTTATTAATGTTAAATAATTAGAATTAAATCAAAATTAACAAAATTGATCATTTTACATTTTAATCAAATGATATTTTTTTTCTCTTTCCCTAAAAGTGATGAAAGAATCTTTTAGAAATTTAAAATAAGTTAGAAAGAAGACAAGTCCTCTCTGTTGATGAGTGATTTAATTGGATATCATCTCAGAATTGATTTCCATTTGAAATTGCTATGGATAGTTTCATAAAGCTTGTTTCAAATATTGGAAACCAAAGTGACTCATGTAATTTTGAGGAAATGGAAAAACAATGTGAAATCTTTTAAAAATTTTCCCCGAAATGTCAGCTCACCCTCATGCAAGTTGCAGTAATGAATGTGAAAAAGAAAAGAGAATTAAGGAGCGAGAACAATAAAAGAAAAATCAAGAAAATGATAGATAATGATTGAAATTGCATTTGAATTTTTGAAGATCAAAGTTGGTTGGAAAGCATGAAGTATGAGAAAAGAAACTGTTAGCATAGAACTTATGGTTCCATCTAGCAGCCAATTCAACTGTGAATTGATGCCACCAATCAAGTATATTTGTCATAGTGAAGAGTTCATCCAAACAATTACTATGAAAGTATTTATAGAAAAGGCACAGGGAAGCTACATTATGCTGGTGGGAAAGTGACTGAATTTCAAGACAGAGGTTCTAATCCATCTGGCAAGGATAATCCAGATGAGTTTAGTAGAGTTTGAAGACAATTTAGGGGCAAATATTCAGATTTAACACCTAAAATTGATTGAGAGGAGGAATAGAAAACTTCCTCTTATTTTAATACCCTATTAAAGAGCTGCCAGTAATCACAAGAGCTACAGTTGTTAGATGCAATACGGTACCGAGGTCTCTCAACAAAGAAAGACACAGCTATTTTGAGGAGGCATTTACATTTATTATATGCAGCCTGTTATGATTGGAACTCTCACGCTGGTATAGTCAGAAAAAGTGATTCCTGTGGGTTATAGAGTTGGTCAGTTTTTGCAATTTGTTTCGGTATTGGTTTCCGTTTATTTTATTTATATTTTTTTTCCTTGATACCACAGTTTTCAATTCAGTTATTTGGTTTTTAATTTAATATTTTTGTTTTCTAAAGAAGCCATTCGTTCTCTTGCGTAATGATAGCATTTCCAGTTGGTATCTGATTTCGTTTGAGATTGATAAATTTGTGATTTAGTCTGTTTAACTGTATCTCTGGTCTACTCTTAAAAATATTCATGTGGCTGGAAAGAAAATAATCTTTCTAAATATGTAATTTGTATGTGCTTTTATTCATTGAATTATTTTTTACAGCAAGTTAAAATGGTATTTTGCTTTGAACGGACAAAAATGCAAAATATTAACAGCAAAATTTTACATGTTACTTTGTTTTGCAAAATGAAAGTGACCAATCTTTATCAATATTCTTGAAATTGTACACTCATTAGAAGACACCTTAAACTACAACCAGGAAGATGTTTATTTCTTCTCTGATCTGGGGAAGCGAATACCTTCAAAAATTATAAAGTAAGCAGAAAAAAAACCAAAAAGCAACTGATAGTAATAAATATATGATAAAAAAAAGAACTTTCAAATTATTGAATGAAACTAATGTCTGGCACTGACAGGCCCTTGTTTTTGATTAAAGTTTATTTGTCTATATTTCTGAGATGAAGTATTATGTATATTATTTATATTATTCAAAGATGAGGACAATAGTTTGAATAATGTAAAGTTTATGTCTATATTTCTGAGATGAGGTATTATGTACAGTATTTACATTAGTCGGACTATTGTCCTCATCTTTGTCGCCATATTTGTCACAATGTTTCGGCCGTTGTACGCTCCGGCCTTCTTCAGGTGGTAGGAAGACTGTGTGTACGCTATCCCGTGCAGCTGCGGAAAGGAATATAAAGGAGAAACAGGCTGCCCCCTCAAGGTAAGGCTTCAAGAACACCAGAAAGCTGTAACGAGAGGGGAAGTAGAAAAATCAGGCATGGCTGACCACGTATGGAGAGAGAAGGGAGATCACCGCCCCCTGTGGGATCATGTTGAAATCATAGATAGGGAACACCATTGGAAAATTCAAACTTAAGGAATCAGCACATATGCTAGGCCACAAAAATCTCCTGAGCCGACCAAGCCTAGAAATAAATACAATATGGGAACCAGTAATAAGGAGTGCCAGAGAAAAGCAATGATAACAAAGTTGCAATATGAACTCAGGTAAAGACATGCAATTATAACAACAAAAATTGCAATATGAGCACTGGTAAAAATGATGCTGAAAACATTAGGTTTATAATACTCAGAAGTTCATACCCAGATGTCCTCAAGGACACATGGCACAGTGGATAAAGGCATTGGTTAGATCCAGTGACAGACCCAAAGAAGGTGAGTTCAATTCCTGGTTAAGGCAGTGGAGAACTTTCAGAGGGAAAATTAGCAGGAGATAACTGATAACTGACATCCATCAAACATGGCACGGGAACTAGAACAGTCTACCCCAGTGATCGAAAATAAAGGGTTCAATTCAAATTCCTACCACCTGAAGAAGGCCGGAGCGCATAACGGCGAAACGTTGTGACAAATATGGCGACAAAGATGAGGACAATAGTCCGACTATGTAAAGTTTATTTATTAAACTTTTGAATAAATTGTCAACTATAAATAACTACCATTTTTATTAACAAATTGGTAAAATATGAAAGAAGCGTTGCATAAACTATCTATATTTGTGTCTTTGGGCAACACATTTGAGAGAAAATGGTATAGCCCTCCAGAAATTAGTAAAGTTTATGATGTGGGTTTTAAAAAGCTGAAAAATGAAACCCCTCATGTTTAAAATAAAAGTATGGCAATTTTTATCTTGTATGCCAGTCAACTGTTATTGGTGTTTTACAAATAAATTTCTTCTAAACAAGGAAAAGTTATTTTTTTTCTCCCCGTTTTCATCTAGTGAATACGACACATAAAATCAGATATTAAAAATAATTAAAAGCTTTTAATTTCATAATTTTCTTAAGTGTATTCACTAGATAAAACCGTAAAAGATTTTTGTAAAAATAAAATGAATTAATTTTCCTTGTTTAGAAGAATTTTATAGCTAGAACAGTAACAAACACTCGTGGCTAAAAAAGAATAACTTTTTGGGTTTAAAAAAAATGAGTTGCAGTTTTGAAAATATACACATTTTAAAACTGAGATTAAAACTTACTTTATTTTTTAATATCTAATTTTAGGTGTATTGTATTTGCTAGATAGAAATGTAATTTTATTTGTAGAAAACAAACAATTTTACACTAGAAACTCACATATCTACAAATATACACATTTTAAAAGTGAAATTAAGAACTATTTTAATTATTTTTAATATCTAATTTAGGTGCATTCCCTAGATAAAAAAACAATTTTTTTTTTTTTTTTTTTAACAACTTTATATTGTGATTGGTGTACTGGCTTACAAGAAAACAATTACAAAAAATCCAACTTCATAAAATTTAACATTAAGACAAAACTGGCAACTTTTTTTTTTTTTTTTTTTTTTTTTACTCGCTATTTTTTTGTCAACTTAATTTTACCACAAAATTTTCTTTTTTTTTTTAAACTGAAACAAATAGATTTCAGACATGTATTTTCCATTTTTCTGTTTGAAAAGAACATTCTGATTGCCAAGTGCCATATCTATCGGTTATATTTCCTTTTTTTTTCACTTTTTTTGTAAACAGATTTCACATTTATTTCCTAAATACTAGTCAATTAAATGGTTTTAATGTTTTTGTTCAATCTTTTTCTCTTAAATGTTGATAAAATTTAATTTTATTAACATCTGAAAGTCTCATTCAATAGTGTTTCTTTGGATATGGTCACTCAGTAGTGATAACACTTTTAAAAAAAAAAAAAAAAAAAAACATTATTTTAGTTTTGTAAAAATTTCGATGCTGTTTCACAGTGTGAAGATGAAATTGAAAAAAGTCAGTTTTTTGGATAAACTGCACATCTCTACTGTGGGCTGTAGTGGCTGAACTGGCTGGTATGAACCATGGAGAATATTTCGATTTCACCTGGTTTTTCCAAGAAGCTACAAAAGCATTGATGCTGGCTTTGACTCAAGAAGAAACCTCAATGGCAGAATTCTCAATAGGAAGATTAAGAATTATCAATCCAAAGGGCATCTTGAAGAAAGTCAGAAAGTGAATCCCAATCAGCATGCTGGTACTGGGAAGAGGTCTTGTGAATAGGAGGTTCCTGCCTAATAAATGACTGAAATGAAACATCAGATACTACAGCATGATCTGAATTGCCAAAAAGAGTTGTGAAGCTTGACAAGAGCTAGAAGTATGGAACAAATCAAGCAAGGAAGCATGTTGGTCAGATTTATTAAGGAAACTTATAATTCTAACACTTTCGCCCTAACCCCTCAACCACTGGCGTCTTGCTCTCGGGGTTGAGGTGTCTACTCGGTCCTAACCCAGCTTAAAGGAGTGGCCATAGGTCCCCTGAGCATCTGTAGATTATTTGACCGGTCCACTGGTTTAATCCTGCTTCCTGCCCATGTTGTGATTTGTTTGATCCAGAAAGCAGAAGTGATGTCCGTCAATTCACGGTCGACTGAAGATGTAGACATGGCTGGGGAGTCTGCACTAAGAAATTTAGAATGCAGCAAAAAAAATTAATATCTGTAGAAAGCCAGACAAACATTGATTCAATGGTTGAATTGGTAATGTCTTTTATATAGCAGAAAAGAATAGTAGAGGAGAGAAATGGGTTACAGAAAAGAAAAGTAAAAAAAACAAAAAAACTCATACACTGCATTCTAGACAGAGAGAGAGTGTATGTGATTATCTTGTTAAATCGTCTCGGAACAATGTATGACTCTTTCGATGGAGGATAAAGATTTCTGTGCGGGGCTTAAAGTTATAGTGGCGTTCCTCCTCCCAACGCTCGTCCGGGCCAATTCTCTCTTCAATAAATTTCTCCCGTCTGTCTTTTGCAGCATAACTGCGTGTTTATATAGATAAACCAGGCTGGTTATGACTGACCCTTGGCCCTACTACTTCGCATGCAATTACATGGGGTTTTGGCTGATTCAACCAAAATCATGTGAATTCCAAAGTTCCTTCTAGCTTACTCAGCTCTATTTTAATTTTTAATTGATAAAAATTATTTCGACCATTTCCATTGTCTCCTGATGACGCAGATTCAATGGGTACAACTTCTGCCCTAGATCAAATTTCCCAATCAGTAAACAAAATGCTCTGATTTTAGTTCACTATTCAAATCTACTCCAATTTCACTAAAAAAAAAATATGTGTGCGTGTTTCCCAGACTCTCTCTCTCTGTCACATAATCACATGTTAAATTTTATTATCTTGGTATTGGAAGAAATTTGCAAATGTCAGATTTTCTACTTTTGTCATTCTTGTACGAGCTTTTTCTTATAACTTGTTTTTTTTTTTTTTTTTTTTTTTTTTTTTTAGGGACCACTTTTATCAATTTGGTGAGATCCGTTCAATTAATGTGGTCAGCAAACAGCAGTGTGCCTTTGTGCAATTCACAAGTCGTTCTGCTGCTGAACTGGCTGCTGAGCGTTCTTTCAACAAATTAATCATCTTGGGGAGACGACTCAATATTAAATGGGGACGATCCCAAGCCCAACAGACTTTGCTCAAGAAAGAAGCCGGTGAGGTAGAGAAGCAACTGGAACCTGTTCCCGGACTGCCAGCAGGTGAGATTGCAATGCTCATTTGGGAGGATTAGAAAAAAAAAAAAAAAAAACCACCATCAAGAAAGTAGTAAATGAAAATTAAGAACAAAGTAGGTCTAAGGATATAGACTACAAGTCAACTGTTGGACTGAGCTCATGCTATAATGAAGAATCAGACTGTGACTCAGGGGAAATGGCTGCATCTAGCATTTCACCAGTCAGAACAGCAGCTGATAAACTTCCAGATGTTAAACATTGGGAGGGTATGCAATGCTATCGATGCTTTGGGTGGAACCACCTTTCCAAGTACTGCCTGGTTTGATGAGAAGATACACAAGCCCGTCAGCCACAAAGGACATGCACAGCAATGTGTTGCTTAGTGTTGTGAGTTCGGCCACATTGTTTCAGTGTGTCTTGGAAAAGAGGAAGGGGATAAGATGTCAGTGGCAGTCTCTTCCCCCAAGCAAGTTGTGACTGAGGCACTGTCTTAGATGTCCATATGAATGAAATCAAGAGAGTGGCACTGGTGGACACGGGCTGCTCACAGTCACTTGCAAGTAAATCAGTCTGTCAATCCTGATGGAAGATGGAGTTGGACGTACTTACCATAAACAATAACACCCTCAAATGCAGTGAAGTTGGAAGCATAAGGCTTGACATTGACATTGAGGTCTTGGTAGTGGATAGAGAGCTATTGGGTTTTGATCTGTTGCTTGGGTTTGACTCTATTAAAAAGTTGGGAGGACTCCAAATAATGGAGTGTGGCAATGTATGGTTTCCCAAGCACAGGATGGCTCATTGTGTCACCACTAAAATAGAAGAACCTGTGCCGAATTTGATCCAAGCAAGAAGATATGGGTTTCCTCGTGGAAGTGGTCAAATACTGGAGAATTTGCAGAACAGAATATATAAGTACCCACAAAAGGTGGCAAGGAAGAATATGACTGAGCTTCAGACCTGGTTTTGATACTGGTTGGTTGCAGCCTTATCCTGAAAAGGAACTTGATCGTCCAAAAAAGTCTAATTCCATTGGTGGTGGTGGTGGTGCAGAAAAATTAAAGTGAAGTGTGGCCAGTATTAGACTATTGGGAATTGAATGAATGTTCAGACGCACATGCAGCAAATTCTAGAAAAACCTAGTTGTGTTCATATTGAATAAGTGTTGCTTTCTGTATTCATTGTTGGATCACTTCAATATCCTCTTCTCCATTTTGACTGACTTAGCCTTAGAGATGATCAAGGTGAATAGCTCATTGCTGACAGCATAACCCAAGATGTTGTTCCTGCTGATGGAGTAGTCGTTACTAGTTATTGGCTGGTTGAAACAAAACAGTTTTTTTTTTTTTTTATTATGAAACTGATGACAAAAAAACTGAGTTGGGGTCAAGATTAGTGTGCTTGAAAATATCTAAAGCACATTGGTCATTATGTTCTTAAAATCTATGCATTCCTGTGAGTGAACAGTTTTTATTGTTAGTGTGTGGGGATAATGTTTAAATGATTCCTTGAGTGTATGTGGAGGGTGTGTGTGTGTGTGTGTGTGTGTGTGTGTTAAGGGTGTTATCTAAACATTTTGAGACCAGAAAAAAGAATCTCTTTAATATATATACAAATATATAAACTATTAGTTGGTTTATTTAACATAGTTTGCCAGTGACATGTAGAAATTAATAAATTTTATTTTATTTTATTTGTATTGTTTTTGGAACAATTGTGGATGTGAGGGTGGTGTAATGAGAAATTGGAGAGCTGGGTTCAAATTCCAGTCAAGTTTGTTACATTCACTTATACACAAATAACCTCGGGTAAGGTATGAATCCATCTTTTGTTCTCTCAGCTATAGGTTGAATAGCAGGACAGACTGAGTTCTGTAGCCTTGGTTAGTAGCCAGTCTCGAAGAAGGAAAACTTTCTGAATTCAAACCAACCAATCCTGCCTAAGACACACCATTGCTGCTATGGCTGCAGTACATGCAGTGCCCCTATGACCAAAAAGGTGTTATGGGAATTGTGCCACAATTGATTTTCTTTTCTTTTTTTTTTAATTGCAGCTTTACCTCTTCCACCAGAAGAATTGACCAACAACTATTTCAACTTAGGCCAGCCTCCACCACTGGTACCTCCACCACCACCACAAGGTGTCCCACCTCGTGTTCCTCCACCTGTGGCACCACCATTTGGCAGCATACCCAGAGCTCCTCCACCCCCAGGTAATTCATGTTTTATACCATTCATTGACATATTTCAACAGACCCCATTATTATTTGCTTTTGTTACTTTTTATTTTATTTACAGTTCAGACACACGAAATGTTTTAACAAATATGGTTTTCCTGCCAAATATAGATACATCCTGCATCTTTCAGTGACAGTTCAATTCCTTCAAATAATGATGCACGTGTCTTGGATTTAGCCTTCTGGAATCTTTATAATAAAAATATCAATGGAAATATTTTTGCTTACTCAATAGAAAAGTGCAATTCAAATATAAAAAAAAACTTTGTTTTGTAATCTGCCTTTTTTTTTTTAATGTGCAGATATTAAATAGAAGTTGTGTCAAGGAATATTAATTCTGGCCAATAATCATTATAATGATTATATGAAATGTATATTCAATGTATCAACTCTTATGGACCAGAAGTATTACATTTCAGCAAAATTCAAACATCAGCCTTTTTGTGGTGAGGCTTGTTGACCAACATATCTATAAGAAAATCTCTTACAAAATAGCAGCTGCTGCTATCTTGTCATTTTTGGAACTAAAATTTTTAAATGTCCTCACTCCAAATATTGTTTTTTGTTTAATATTCACTCTTTCTAATTAAATTCATTACATGTGAACAAGTGCAAAAAAAAAAAAAATGGAAATTTTGTTTCATATATTTAATAGATTATTATTCAACTCATTTGATGTAATTCAATATTTTAGTATTTTGTTAATATTATTTAACATACAGCAGGTTATGGTGGGTTGAACATTTGGAACCAATAGTTACGAGTGGTGGGTGAGTGGGTTGAATGTTAAAGGGTTAATCAGGAATTTAGAAAATGAGTGTGGTTAAATATTATGTTCTGTGTTAATAATTTGTAAATTATTTCAGGAGTTCGCTTGCCTCCTCCACCACCTGGTATTTTGCCTGTGAGGCCACCCCCGTTAATACCTCCAAGAACAGCCCAGTTGAACTCTGTGCACTATCCTTCACAAGATCCAACCAGAATGGGAGCTGTAACTTTAACCAACCAAAAGAACTAAAAGAAAACATTGCAAATGTTTCAATCATCCATTTTTATTCAAAACGAACTCCTTGTATAGTCTTTTCTAAATCTACTATCAGATAAAAAACAACAAACAATAAAAAAATATTGTTGATTAAAAGACTTCAGGTGTCCATTACTTTGGTTGTAGGAGTTGATTATTGTATTTTGTCCATTTCTTGTTTGTTTCAGCTGAACTAGAGTATATAAATTCATAGCTTCATCCCGGGGATTGAACTCTCAATCATTAGATAACAAGACTTGATTAATCAATGCCTATATCCCCTACACTAAAGGGTGCTGTTTGTTTTTTTTTTTTTTTTGTTCTTCCAACTTTTAAATCTACTGTCCATTGCTTTCAACATTCGGTTATTATCGTGGGTTTCATACCTGCTTGTTTGATAATTTTATTTTAATTTTTGATTATAATGACAATTCTTCATCTCTAAAATCAAAAACAAAATTGTTTATAAACAGTTGCTGCTTGCACTTCTGCATCTTATTTTACATAAAATGCAAGGATACCAAATTAATTAGCAAACATTGAAATTAGTTCAATTAGTATTTACTTTTGTTGGTAATCGCTTAGGTTCCATCAATTAGCCAATAAAGTGGAACCTTGGTTCACGAATTTGATTTGTTTCTGAAGGCCATTCGTAATCCAAAATGTTTGTAAACCAAAACTATTTTTCCAATAAGAATCACTGTAGAGAAAAAAGTCACAGTACAATAAAATTGGAAAAGAAAAGCACGTCACAAAACACGAATATATACAATATGGCGGTTGACTCAGAAATTATTCTGTTTGGATTAACTTGGTTCAGCAATGTTGTTTGATAACCGAGGCATTTTCATCTCGAATTTTCTGTTTGAAAAGCGATTTGTTCAACATATAAGACATTCAAGAATCGAGATTGCACTGTAATTTGTTTTGTTTTTCTCGGAGATTAACCACGAAGTTTGCTCAGGTTACCTCCCTTTACATTAGAAACAAATTTCTTTATGTAAGTCCTGTTTAAAAGAACACCTTTTAAAATGCTAAAAAAAAAAAAAAAAAAAAACTGTCTCATCTTTACTGACTACCTTTTTGTTCAGGTTTGATTTTAGACTAATCCTTTTTTGAAGTGAGTTTCCAAGAGTAAGACTCAAAATATCGGCGTGAGGTATAGCAGATTAAAATTCTGTTGCACCAATTTATTATCTTCTGCTTTTATCAAAATCTTTCAGCATATTGCATGTCTATGACCGTGATGCATGTGTCTGGAATAGCCTGTGTCCTGATGGGTATATTGGGATTCGTATATTTGCATCTTAGTGGACTGCTATTCACTCACTCAATAACAATGTTTTACTCAATAAACAATCTAAAAAAAAAAAAAAATATACCATTAGGAAATCATAACTTGTGTATTCCTTAATGACAAACCGTTTTGCAAATCATTTGCATTTTATACCCATATATTTTAAATTAAAATTATAACATTTCTAAAAAGTGCAAAGATTAATTTTATCAAAACTTTACCCTATTACAACTGATAACATTAGCTTTTTCTTTTTTTTAATGACTATCGATGGGAAAAATACTGGATGTATGGCAACTCGTATATTAACTGTTAAATGTAATAATTTATTGAATAGACAATTTTTTTTTTTTTTTTTTTGTCAAATCCAATGTTCCAATTTTTGTTGCCTCAGAGAAAACACACACACACACACTGAGGCAACAAAAATTTTGGATTTGGCAAAAAAATATTGTCTATTCAATAAATTATTACATTTACCAGCTGATATATGACTTGCCATACATCCAGACCTATTTATTTAGATCCTTCCACTTGCCTGAGGAGCCCATATGGTTGAAACCCAGGTTGCAAGGTTGGTTGGCATTTTAGGCTCTTTTCTATTAACACCAACCTTGCGACCTGAGTTTCAACTATATGGTTTCCTCAGGCAAATGGAAGGATCTAAATAAAGGATCTTTATAAAATCAAACCTGTATCCTACACAGAACTGTCATAGAGCCTGATGTGCTATACAATTTAGCTACAGAGGGAGCATCTGGTTAGCAAGGTCAAATTACTGTTTTTTTAACCAGTAATTTAGTATAATCCAATTCGAATATAAGGATTTTATTATTCAAGGAATTGATAGTGAGTTAATGCTTCATTAAGTTCTGTTAGTGAAGTGATTTTGACATTAATCACATTAAAATTGCTATTTAATTTTCTTTGTATAAATTGTTTCTTGATGATATATAAGCTGCACACTGTAATATATTTATGACATCAGATCCACAGCGCAGTAATAATCAGAATCTTAAATTCTGTGCAAAACTACTAAGTCATTTTTATTCCACTAATCAGATTATACTTAAGTCCATTTCATTTTAACAGATAAATATATATAACAAAATTTTGTGGATTTATAACTTTTCAAAATTCAAACAAAATTCTCACTTGATTGATTTGAACAAGAACTCTAGCATCGCGGCATCACATGCTCCAAAACACATATTCAACTGTCAATAAATAGCATAATTTAAAAAAAAAAAATTGTCTTAGTGTTTGCCTATGTATAGAAAAAACTGTGCTCTTAAGATGACAATTTGAAATTGTGGAAAGTACTTGGCATGTGTCTACCATCTGACATCAACTCAAATATAAGGATCTTATTATTCAAGGAATTGATAGTAAGTTAATGTCTCATTAAATTCTGTTAGTGAAGTGATTTTGCCATTAAGCACATTAACATTACTATTTAATTTTCTTTTATATAATTTGTTTCTTTATGATACAAAATATAAGCTGTACACGCTATATATATATAGATACACCTAGTGAGCCAGACAAACCTACCTAGGTTTCACCTAAACGGATCGTCAGGGAAAGTTGTTACTCGTATCGGGGTTTTTTTCTTTGGGCTTCAGACCTGCATCTGTGTGATTTTTTTTTTTTTTTTTTTTGTCGGCAGAAGTTCATGTTTGTAGCTCTTTCTTTTTTTAAAACCTTTTTTTCCCTCGAGATTGATTTGATTAGCAAATCAAAAATTCGAGGGTTTTTCGAAACGAGTTTAGTATATATATATATATATATATATATATATAAAAACAGAATTTGTTACTTAGCTGATTGATGTTATATTCAGCACCTCAACTTCAGAGTATCATAAATGAAGATTTTTCTAATTGTTCAGTTCACTCTTCAGATGATTTCAGCAATTGATTGTCTTTTTTTTTTTTTTTTTTTTAATTTTTTTTCTTTATCTTAATAGTAAGTTTGATGTAATTAATTTATGCATTAGGATGCTGTTATTATTAGTGTTGGTTGATATTTTTTCTCTGTCAAAATGTCATGGTTATTTTTCCATTTTCATCATTTTCTTGTCTTTTTATTCCTTTTCTTTCTTTTTCTTTTTGTGTTCTGAAAATCAAACAACATAACAATGTCATTTCTGGTAACACTTTTTTTTTTTTTTTTTTTTTTTTTTAGGGCAATTGTTTTTTCTTTTTAAATTAATACTTAAATGGCAAAGTAAATTGTTTATGTCTGTGCTTACCTATTTGTCTTTTTTAGTAGTTTGTTTTGGTTTCTAAAAATAATTATTTGTAATCTTTCCTCTAAGCATAGTTTGCAGTTTTTGCTGTTAATGCCATGTGGGGCTGCCCTTTTTATAATTTTCAACTTGAGTTTGGTACACTATTTACATTATTGTCCTCATCTTTGTCGCCATATTTATTACGTTTCAGCTGTACACTCTGGCCTTTTCAAGGTGGTTGGAATGTCAAACTGAACCCTTTATTTTGCTCACTGGAGTAGACCGTTCTAGTTCCACGTGCCATGTCTAATGGATGTCAGTTATCTACTGTTAATTCCCTTCTCCAAGTTCTCCACCACCTTAAGCAGGTATTGAACTCACACTCTTTGGGTCCTGTCACTTGATCTAAACAATGCCTTTATCCACTGACAGGACCAAAAGAGTGCGAGTTCAATACCTGGTTAAGGCAGTAGAGAGATAACTGATAACTGACATCCATTAAAACATGACACGTGGAAATAGAACAGACTACCCCAGTGAGCGAAATAAAGGATTCAGTTCGACATTCCAACCACCTGAAGAAGGCCAGAGCGTACAACGGCCAAAACGTAGTAATAAATATGGTGCCAAAGATGAGGACAATAATTCAAATAGTGTACATAATACATCATCTCAGAAATATAGACAGATATTGATTTTGGTGCATATATTAATTTTTGGGTCTATATGTATTTTGATAGGATTTTGTTATTGGCATATTTTTTCTGTCAAAGGACATTTTGTTATAACATCTTTCCTTTAAAGTTTTTTCTATAATACCTATATAATTTTTTTTGTTTGTTAGTATTATTAGTTACAGTAGCTTTGTACATTGTTATTGGTTAAACATTTGTTATTAAGTGGGCAACTTGTTTTGTTCCTACATTTGATGATGATATTTTGCTGATGTTTATTTTTATATTGATTATTTGATTAAAGACTAAATGGAAGGAGTGTTTTGGGGTTATTTTTCTTGTTTTCATCCAAGAGAACAAATGTTTTGATCCAATGAATTGCTCAAATCTTAATAATCGAATTCTCTTGACTATATTTTTGATCATTATTGAGATCAGGGATCTGCTATTCTTGATAGTATTTATCTTTTAATTCTTGGATATTTTTATGTTCAGGTTTGACTTTTATTCATTATGATGACATCACGCAATGTGGCATACAAACGAAATTCTTCCTTCGAAGGTGCTGGAATGTTACAGTTACTTAATCTCCAGCAATAACCACTAGACATCTGGTATGAACATAGCTCAGCAAACTTTCTTTCTCCAACATTCGTGGTATTTGTACCAATTTCTGCAGTGTGGAATCATCCCTCTTTGAAAAGTCTTTGAACAGCCGAGCTCTCTGTGAAACTAATCTTAACTCTTCAATCACCTCTAATTTTTCGATTCCTGGCTATCATCCTCTCCT